ACTAAATTGAATTTAATTAAAAAAAAAAGAAAAAAGCTGGAAGCAAGTTAAATGTCTGTCTTTAGGGGATTGGCCTAATAGATTATGATACATTCATACACTGGTTATGTAGCTGGTTTAAAAAGTTTTGGGGGGGGCACCTGGGTGGCTCAGTCGTTGAGCTGCTGCTTTCAGCTCAGGTCATCATCCCAGGGTCCTGGGATCGAGTCCCACATCGGGCTCCTTGCTCAGCGGGAGCCTGCTTCTCCCTCTGCCTGCCGCTCCCCCTGCTCATGCTCACTCGCTCTCTCTCTCTCTCTCTGTCAAATAAATAAAAATCTTAAAAAATAAATTTAAAAAAATAAAAAGTTGCTTCTCAAAGAATAAGGATGTATTTTACGTACTGATGTGTAAAAAAATCTCTAAGAGACATAGTTAAGCAGAGAAGGTACATTTATTGTACTACCATTTGTGTAAAAAGGGGAAATGAGAATATATATTTGTATTTGCTTGTATATACATCAAGAAACTGCAGAGAACAATGACAGTGGTAACCTGGGGTATTAGACAACTATAAATAGTTATGTGGGAGGTTTTTTTATGTTATTCCTTGTTATATTCTTTGACTTTAGAATCATGTGAAAATTTTACCTGTTTAAATAAATTGTGTTTTAAAGAAATTGAAACATATAGTCAATTTTAAAAATAGTATCCAAAGTACTGTAAAGAGAAAGGGTGCAGTAAACAGTGCTCTAGCATCCCATATCAGCTTCAAGGGTGGGGCAGGGTGGGGTTGGCTAATGTTCATTATAAACCGGAACATCCAGTTGAGTACTGTGAATGAACATATTATGATTGCTTCTTTCATGTTAAACTTACCCAATAAACTGTTCATATAGCCCTAATAGGACAGCTGTGCTGCCCTGCAGAGGACACAGGTTTTGAAGCAAGAGACTTGAATTTGATTCCTGTGTCTACTGTTTTCTGGCCTTGAGATTTTGGACAAATTGTTTTAATCTTAATCTACCAAAACCTCTCAATAAATACAAAGAATAAATGAAATAATGTGAGTGTGCTTTGTAAATTATCAAATAACATACAAAGAGAGCTATTATTATTTGTGTTTTGGTTTATATTGCACAGTAATCAGCCCATTAAGTTGGTCATAATTGAATTGCTGAACATTAGTCACAAACAAAACATGCTTAGCATATGACTTAGTCACCTCCTTCAAAGAAAATAGAAGTATGAATTTCCTCAACTCTGTTCTTCAGCTATCTGTCGCACCGTGTCCCTGTCCTCCAGAGCCTACATTGCCTTCCTACTGGACTTTGGTCACTCCAATGACTTGTGTTCAACAAAAATTACCTTTCTTACTGAGTGGTGTATATATTTCTACCTTTTGTACTTTGGAATAATTTCCTTTCCGTTCCTCATAGGGTTTAAGTCTTCATAGTATTTTCTGTATGAGGTTAAAGAGTTAATTCCTGATCTCCAGACTGAGATGAAGGGCACCAATTCCTCTGTAAAGCCAACTCTTCTCTCTTCTTCTGTTCCCCTCCACTTATCCCCTACCCTGTTCCATGAGTTATCATCTCCCATTCTTCTGTCCTCAATCTCTCCTGCTAGTCCTAACTCTATGCTTTGACCTGATGGGAATGCTCAAGTCTAACATCCCTAAGAATATTTTCAAATGTGAATCCCTTCTGTTGTCACATCTTTTATTTTTTTGCTTCAAAGAATGATTGCCTTTAACTTCTCAGTTTCCATTCATTCCCTAGTTCATTGTGATTTATGATCTCATTTCCCTCTTTTTCTTTTTTTTAAGATTTTTTTTTAAATTTTTTATTTATTTGACAGAGAAAGAGAGACAGCGAAAGAGGGAATGCAAGCAGGGGAAATGGGAGAGGGAGAAGCAGGCCCCCCGCAGAGTGGGGAGCCCGATGCGGGGCTCGATCCCAGGACCCTGGGAATCGTGACCTGAGCCGAAGGCAGATGCTTAATGACTGAGCCACCCAGGTGCCCCGATCTCATTTCCCTCTTAACTGTTACTTTTGTAAAAACTTTGGCCAACTTCCCCCTGCTAAATTCAGTGGCTTTTCAGCTCTCCCGTACTGCCTGACTGTGGATGACACCTCTGAAATGTACTCCTTTTGCTGCTGTGATGTACTGTTCTGGGATTTCTTCCCTCTTCCCTATTTTTCTCTTAATCTCTTTGGCTGGTTTTTCTCCTGTCACCTGCTGCTAAAGCTTAGGGGTTATGCACTTCTCTCCTTGGTCATCATCCCACTCTTTTTCTTTCCACAGTTGTTGCATTATATAATGACCGAGTCCATACTGTTCTGCTTTCCATCTATACTCTCTCCCTGAGATTTTATCCATTTCCATAACTATAGAAACTAGTGACTCCCCCAACAGTACCCTTGGACTTTGCTGCCTGATTGCAGGTACCTCACATTCACCTATCTCCCTAATTAAAATAGTTCTCTCCTCCAGCCCACTCATCTTCTTGTGTTCCCTGCTCAGTCAGTGCCATCTTCACCTTCCCAGTCCCTTATGCCAGAAACCTCCAGGATCGTCCTTGACTCCTTCCTGACCATTCACATGTAATTTGCCCCAAAGCCCTGTCAGTTCTGCTTCTGAAATATCTTTCTTGTACATCTCCTTGTTTTCATCGCCACTCAGGTTTCTTTAAAATGAAACGTAATGTAATGTGTCACTACCTCAACCTTAACAGTTTTTATGACTTTTTATTGCCTACAAGACAAAGTCTGAAGTCCTTGGGCATGGCCAATGAGATTTTTTTACAACCTGTCCCTGACCTTTCCCTGCCCCCAGCCCTGACAGACCATGTTCCCCAGCCAGCTCAGGAGTATTCACTGGTTGTCTGCATAGGCCTTGCTTTTCAGTTTCACACCTCTGCACCCGTCACGTCTCTGCTTGGAGCCCTTTCACCTTCCACTCACTTTTCTCAGGAATCGTGTCTTTATGCTGCCTTTCTGGACCACACAGAATGATCAGTCCTGCAGCACTTTATTCATGTCTCTGATACAATATTTATCCTGTAGTAAAGCTAACTTACAGTCTTCTTAAGGACAGCATCTAGGTCTTTTTAATTTCAATATTGCCAAAGCATAGTACCTAGAATATAGAATTTTGATAATTATTTATGGGACGAATAATATTCAAAGTAAAGTAAAAGAGAACTCAGCCCACATTGAGTCTGCAGAGTTCCCATGTTGTCTTGTGAACAGCACATTGAGAGGTGGTTAAGAGCTTGATTTCTGCAGTCGGGCATGCCTGGGTTCAAACCCTCTCTGTAATGCTTCCTAGCTGTGGCCGTTTCCCCACCTACAAAGTGGTGACACGGGGTGGCTGTGAGAATTTAATGTAAAGCACTTATCACGGTGTCCAGTACATTATAATAATTTTAAGCTATTATTAAGAGTGTAGTATATTTTTAATGAATAACAGCAGTAGTTATACTCTGTAGTCAAAAATGAGGTAAAAGAGTGGCATGTTCTCACATGATCTTCCTAAGAGAACCCGTTCTGAACCAAGCTGATACATTTTACCACCACCAATGACTATCAGTCTGCTTTCCTCTCCTGGACTTATCTAGGAGGAGGAGTGCTGTTCTTTTCCTCCCGTTATCTGTTGTTTGTATTATTGTTATTAATGCTCTTGAGATTCACTCTCTCCTTTACAAAAAGTTGAGTTTTAGATATGAACAGTGATACCAAAAAGGAAGTTGAACTTGAAGGGTAAGAAAGGGTAAACCCAGGATAAGGGTGGAAGTGGTGTTTGGGTTAAGAGACTGAGGAAAGTAGAATCTAATAAGGTTCTAGTTTCATTCCATCATTTGTCAAATATTTACTGTTCCCTCACACTATACAGGGCAAAGTGGGGATGCCTCTGGCTGGAGGGGCATCAGAATTGCTTAAGGCCTAATTTCTCTCTCTAAAGATTTTTTAAAATCTTTTAAATAATTTTTGAAATAGTTGTAGATTTACATGCAATTTTAAGAAATAATAGATCCCTTGTATATCACTAGAAGGATTTTAAGTCTTATTAATAATGAAGGTGAGGGGCACCTGGCTGACTCAGTTGGTAGAACATGCGACTCTTGATCTCAGGGTTGTGAGTTCGAGCCCCACGTTGGAGGTAGAGCCTAGTTAAAAAAATTATGAAAGTGAGATAGTTCCTTGTATAACTGGTATGAAATCACAGGTAGAAAGCAGTTCATAATTGTGAAAAAGTTGAGATTACTATGCTTGCAGCTGTAACAAATAAGGTTTCATACAGGTATCAGTTTTTAAGCCAAACCTCTGAGGATGAGTACAATTGTATTAGGTTGAGAATGGAAGAGGGGAAGGAGGTAAACCAAGAGCGGGGTGAGAGGGAGGACCTGGGGTTCCTTCACCGAACAGTGGCAGATCACGTAGACAGACATTCATTCATTCATTAAAAAAGATTTTTATTTATTTGTCAGAGAGAGAGCGCGCACAAGAGGGGGAGTGGCAGGCAGAGGGAGAAGCAGACTCCCCACTGAGCAGGGAGCCGCATGCAGGACTCGATCCCAGGACCCTGGGATCATGACCTGAGCCGAAGGCAGACGCTTAACCTACTGAGCCACCCAGCGCCCCTCATCTAGACTTCTAAATTGTACACCTCTTGTGAATTGATTTTTTTTTAATATTTTATTTATTTATTTATTTGAGAGAGAGCATGAGAGTGGGGAGGGTCAGAGGGAGAAGCAGACTCCCCGCTGAGCAGGGAACCCGATGTGGGACTCGATCCTGGGACTCCAGGATCATGACCGGAGCCGAAGGCAGTCGCTTAACCAACTGAGCCACCCAGGCACCCGAATTGATTCTTTCTTGCCTCGGGTTTTTAGAACTCAAGTAATGATGGGCCTCTTCTTAATCTCAGGTCTAATTATTCCATTTTCTGTTTTTATAGAATACCTTGATTCTACTGAGAGTCTGATTTCTTGAAAAAAGTTTCTCTTGTGCTTTTAGAATGACAGTAGAGAACGGCATGAGCACACCAGCGAAAGGCGGAGACATGGCAACCCCGGGCCATTATCTAATGGACGACCCCAGGGTAACTCACGGCAGGTGGTGGAACAAGATGAAGAAGAAGATGAAGAGCTGACATTGAAATATGGCGCCAAACATGTGATCATGCTCTTTGTACCCGTGACTCTCTGTATGGTGGTGGTCGTGGCTACCATCAAATCAGTCAGCTTCTATACCCGGAAGGATGGACAGCTGTATGTATGAGTGTTTTATTATTCTCAAGGCCGGTCTGGCTTTTCTTTGTAGTGTGTCATCATCACCTCAGAGGCCTTTGCTTTGATGGGGCACAAAGGCTAGAGAGTTCATCCTCTCTGACAGCCAGAGCAGTTGACAGAATGAGGGGTTATTATTTGATGCTTTAAGTAGAGAAAATGAGAGCTACAGAATTCTGTTTCACATATGGTGTCACTGGTTAGGACTGAATTTATTTGAAATTGAGCAGGTAAAGAATTGAATATTAATCTTTTCCACCTCAGGGCCATTGGTCCCATTGTTCTTCTGCTGGAACATTCTTTCCTTTTCTAGATTTGATGGATGAATTCTATTGTCCTTCTCATCTTTGCTTAAATGTTAAGTCCTCAAAGGTAATTTCCCGATCCTTGTAACAGAATTAGGTCCTTCCCGATACTCTTTCTCATAGCAACCTGTTCTTTTCACAATATGCAAATATATTATTTATTTACATTATTTAAAGCCTGGTTTCCTTCTATACCGTAAGGCCTATGAGGGCACATTGTTTCTACAGCTAGTTATGTAATAAATGCTCAACAAAAAAAGTTGCTAAATGAAAAGATGAAGAATTAATGCAAGCTGGCATTCTCTAGAGTCGTGGGGGGATTGTTGTGTAGATTCTCTTGTGCTGTTGGTATGAGCCCTACGCCTTCAAGAAAAATGCTTTGATTCAGATTCACTTAGTTTTGTCTCTGGGACTCTGTAGGGCCCCTATAGAGCTCAAACAAAGTTTTAAATGAATTTTGGAATTTGAATTAGCAAACTGTGTGGCGTTCTAAAAGCCAAGCTTTTAATCTTTTGGGAGAAAGGCTAAGGCAAGAGTAAAGGGTGGGGGTTGGAGACAGCAGTCAAAAGAGACTGGGGAATATTATCTGTATAGCTTAGAGTTAATTTTGGCTGTATATTATAGAACAGGGTTAGCAAACCGTAGTCCACAGGGCAGATCTGCCTGCCACCACCTATTTTTGTAAATAAAGTTTTACTGGAACATAATCACGTTCATTCATTTGTATATTGTCTATGCTGCCTTCATACTACAGTGGGAGGGTTCAGTGGTTGCAACAGAGACAGTATGACCCAGAAAACTTAAAATTTGTACTCTTTAGTCCTTAACAGAAAGTTTTCTGAGCCTGTTGTAGGAAATCAAAACAACTGGTTTAAATGGTATACATATTTTATCTCTCTCCCAGAGAATGGTACAGGGTGGTCAGTCCAGACTGGTAGTATAGCTTCACCTTTCCTCAAGGACTCAGGCTCCTTCTTTCCCTTTTCTTTGGCTTCTACCCTTTAGGTTATTCAAGGTTCCTTATTGGTACTGGAGCCCCAGGCTTCAATTCAGACAACAGGAAGCAGGAAGTAGTGGGGGAGAAAAGGACCTAAGACCCATCTCTCAGCAGAATTAACGCCTTTCTTAGAAGTTCCATACAACATATCCACTTATAACTCATTGGCCATACTTTGTCTCATGGCCACACCTGTCAGGGAGTCAGAAATAAAGTCCTGTAGCTGGGAACACTGGAACCTGGAATAAATGTGTTTATGTGAATGAGAAACCCAAGGGAAGATGGGTATGTGACGTTATATCAAAACAACTCCAGTTGCAGTCACCCTGTAGGTGAAAAAAAAAGTAACTGTAAGCCATTATTATATAAGCCACCTTCTTTTGACAAGTACTTGTAGCTTAGGTAGTTTATGTGGTAGAATCCAGTTCTTTAAACAAATCACTAATAAGCTGTGGAGAAAGAGCATTTCTTGAGTAATTATTTCAATGTAAAGCATCCACTAGATGGAGCTAGTGTCTGGCTCACAAAAGTCCACCTCTCCACATTTTAGATCTCTCCTTTTATTTTGAAGCACTTATTTTTAGAGTATAGCTAATTTTCTTAGCTAAAATTCTTGGCTAGATTGCTGAGATGGAAAAAGGTCATATCAGTTGAATCAAGGAAACAAAACTGGTGTTGGAGAGGGATATGGTTTGAGAAATCCATTAACACTTACTTTGGGCTTTTGTATTTTATTATAGAATCTATACCCCATTCACGGAAGATACAGAGACTGTGGGGCAGAGAGCCCTGCACTCAATTCTGAATGCTGCTATCATGATCAGCGTCATTGTTGTCATGACTATTCTCCTGGTGGTTCTGTATAAATACAGGTGCTATAAGGTGAGCATGAAACACGGAGCCTTGCTTTCCACCATGTTCTTTTTGTGATTGGGTTTTCCTGTCACATGCCTTACTTGGTCTAGTAGAGAAAAGGGCTATATATTCTAGAACTGATATAATTTTTAGTTTTTTCCCCCTTGTTGTAGAACATATAAAAAAACACAAAAAGACATAAATGAAAAACAAATGTTTTCGTATCATATCACATTCTAAATGGTTTTAACTTTTTGATTTGCAGTATACTTAGGACATTCCAGGTTATATCCTAAGACCTTTGTGAATTCCCTCATTCGCAAATAGTACTATAGGATATAATTATCCCTATAAAGTAATATAACTTAAAAAATTCAGATTTTCCCGAGTGCAGACCACTAGAGCCTTCTGCAGACACTGGTGTTAAATTCATTGGTGACTGGTTATATTCCCACTTCTACATTGGGAGCCATCCATTCCTTCACTGTCTCTCCTGCAGTAGCACTAGTTCTTTCCTTGGGAAATAAGGGCAGGAGAGATTGTGTAGGAAAAACACAGGCCCAACCCTCCCAGGCTCTGCTCCCTTAGCTCACCCTCTAGCTAAGGGATTCACTCTTGAATTTTAGCCACCTGGCACATATTTCAGATGCATGCCTCAGAGAAATCACAAATTATTACAAGTCATGAGACTTTAGGGTCTTTCTCAAATAAAAGTAATAAATGATAATTTTCCAAATGTTGAAGTCTACTCTATTTCCTTCTAGTATTTATTTCTCTATATGTTTAACATGGTTAAAATAAAATGTATAATAAATGTGTCCTTTCCTAACTTTTACTTTGGCATAAGCCTTTTTCCATATTTAAATTCTCAGAAATATGTCTAAAGGCTATGTAACATTTGACTCAATGAGTGTATTATAATTTACTTACCCTAATTTCCCTGATGTTGGACATTTAAGTCATTTCCATTTTTTTACTATTCTAAAAAACAATGAGTACCTTTATGGAACTTCTTCAGTTTTTCAAATTATTTCCTTAGGGTAAAACCCTTGACACAGAATTTATGGGGCAAATTATCTACATTTTTAAAATTTTATTTCATGTATTTGAGAGAGAGTGCAAGAGAGCGAGAGAGAGCACGAGTGGTGGGGAGGGGCAGAGGGAGAGGGAAAAGCAGACTCCCCGCTGAGCAGGGAGCCCACCATGGGGCTCGATCCCAGGACCCTGGGATCATGACCTGAGCCAGAGGCAGGCGCTTAACCGACTGAGCCAAACCTATCTACATATTTTTAATTATCATGGTGTGCAAAATTCCTTTTTTCCAAATGGTAGTATCAGTTTGTACTTAACACTAGTTGTGAATGAGACTGTCTTACCTTTACCAGCACTGAATTTTTAAAATTCTGTGCTAATTTTTATAGGTGAAACAAAATGCCTTAATTTGCATTTGGTTAGTTCCTTGTAAGATCAAATACCATTCCAGTGTTCACGAATTTTAAAATTATACACAATTTAACCTTGCTTGTTGAACATTTGAGTGGGTGGAAGTGTTAACCCAAGTGATGAGCATCTGCAGTCTGACATTAGCAAGTAGAAAAGATTGAAGACAAAGATGTCTGTGATGATGGGAGGTAGTCATCAATACTCAGGAAACCAAAGAGCAAATGATATAAACCCGTGCTACAAAGCATTCTCCTCCCCCTGTTTAAATGTCCTCATGACAGTTACCTTTTCTGTATATACATGTTTACAGGCTAATTCTGTTTCTCTGCTTTATTGGACTCACTTTGTGTGACTCTTTTCTTTTTAATATTTATTTATTTGAGAGAGAGAGTGTGAACAAGGGGGGAGAGGGGCAGAGAAGCAGACTACCCACTGGGCAGGGAGCACGATGCGGGGCTCGATCCCAGGACCCTGGGATTATGACCTGAGCCAAAAGCAGACGCTTAACCAGCTGAGCCACCCAGGCGCCCCTCACTTTGTGACTCTTATCTGGATTATATGCTACTTTCGTTCTTCACCTTTTATGGGGAGTCTGTATCCTATTTAGGGTCATATCCACACCTGCACACCTTCAGGATGGGCCCGTAAGTTCATACCAGTTTTAAAAGCTTGCTTTCTTGAGCTTCCTTTCTGTGATCTCCCTGGTACTTTTTGGTTCTTTTGGACGTCCCTGTTCCATTTCTCCAGCCAGAAAGCTGATTTATTTTGCCAACGACAGGGACAAGAAGTGGTAGAACAGAGAGAGAGAAGCAAGTGCCATCTGCCTCGCTTTCTAAGAACTAGAGCTCCTCCAGTTAGAGAGGAAGCTTCCCCTCCGTCTGAATTTTAGGCTCCTGCTACCCTTAATACCACCCCCACAGGATTGTTTAATAGCTGGGTGTGAGAGAATGGTGAAAGGAAAAAGCCAAAAAGTGAGATTTTTGCATTCTCTTTTGGTGTTAGGAGACGTCTTTCCTGTTGCTTATCCAGAACTAGGCTTCTCTAGAGCTCTCACTATCTTGCTAATGCACGTTCGGGGTTGCACTGAGTTCTGATGGAGGAGGGTAGTACTGGAGGAGAAAACGTGATAAACTCACTTCTAATTCCACAGCCCACCTGACTCTGTCCACTTGTCTGAGTCCTCACCTAGCAGCTGCATGCATTCTATCCAGTTGCAGGGGAGACAGGTTAGATGTGCTTTCACTCCATGGCACCTCAAACCTGTCTTGATATATTTTGGCCAGTTTTGTGCATCTTTTAGTTACATCTCATTTTAGACAGTCTAAAAAGGGTTTATTTTCAGCCACATTTCCACATTTATTTTTTCATTCGTGTTGTTTTGTTTCTTAATGTTAAGTTCAAGTCTTAGCAGGCACAGCCAATTCTATAGGAACAAGTTGTTTACTTTGGTTCCTAGTCTAAAATAAAAGGAGCTTTTGAAAAAGTCAAATACTCAGAAACTTGCCAGGACCTGTTTGGAAATAAACCTGGAGGATTTATTATGTCACTGGTTGGTTGTGCAATGTCTGTGAGAAGCACAAGAAGCTAAAAGACCAAACAAACTTGAAGAAGGTAGAAACTGAAAAGGCAGTTAATTATTACATACCACAGTTAGAAATGAAACTATATAACTTATTAAAACCGTGTGATTTCTGGGCTGGACAGTTCAGGGTTTAGAGGAGATGCTTGCTGTTCTATACTGAAGCAGGGCTCTTCTTTCAGAGCCTTTAGCACAGGAAAGCTGAACTAGGGATTTTTGCAAGATGAGAAAAAAGCCTGTTTTACCATCTGATCTAGAAAAAGGGAAGTGCTATTTAGTCATCATCAGAAGAGACTTTGAATTCAGGTAATAATTAAGAAAACCATAACATCAATGACCGGAAACCATTATTACAGACAGAGGGCATTTAATATCTTTACAATATGACGAGAACTTACAAATCATTCAGAAAATTATGAACATGAATATTATAGAACATTAGAGCATGCAGCTCTTGATCTCAGGGTTGTAAGTTTGAGCCCCACATTGGGTGTAGAGATTACTTTAAAAAAATAAAATCTTAAAAAAAAAGAAAATTATGAACAGCCTAATAAATTTTTAAAAACCCAAGCCAGAGGAATTACAAAGGAAGTATAGATGGCCAGGAGAGAGACAGAGACAGATGTGTATATATGTTTCCTCAGTGGTAGAAACAGAAACATATTAAAATAACAAATTAACATAGTTCACCTGCTGACTTGGTGAAGATTAATGTAGTCTTTTTTTTGTGAAGTCATTAAGCCAATATATATCAATAGTAATTAGAAAAAGTCTGTACACTTTGATTCCATAATTTTGCTTTCATGATATATCTAAGAGAAATAATCTGAAATGCAGAAAAATATTTGCATGCTAGGACTTTTATCCTAGCATAAATTATAATTGGAATAAAGTGGAAAACCATAAGTTCCATAAGAAACATGGAATAAGAAAAGGTTAAATAAATAAGAAAAAAAAGGCTAAATAAATAAGAAAAGGTAAAATTGTGGGTTCGTTCCATATATGCAGAATATTACAATTTACTCATTTAAAAATCATTTTCAAAAAGTATTTGGTGGCATGAGAATGTGTCTGTAATAAAAAGTTTTAAAAAGCAGAATGCTAAACTATATTACTTGATTATAATGTTGAAAGGCCTTTATACATGCCGACAGAAAACATGCCTGAAAAAACATGTTAATAACAACTTTGGTTGTCTCTGGTCAGTGGGAATGGTTTTTTTCTTCCTTTGGTGTTTCTGTATCTTCTCAGTGTTATACATATGTTATTTTTGTATTCAGAACAGCGCTTTCTTAAATACCATCCCCATGTTCCCTTGCTGAGAAAAACAAGGTAAAGAGCATTTCTCAAGAAAGATGAGAATTTCTAGTATTCAGTATTTACTCTGGCCTTTTTTTTTTTTTTAAGATTTTTATTTATTTATTTGACAGAGAGAGAGACAGCAAGAGAGGGAGCACAAGCAGGGGAGTGGGAAAGGGAGAAGCAGGCTTCCCACAGAGCAGGGAGCCCGATGTGGGGCTCGATCCCAGGACCCTGGGACCAGGATGTGAGTCGAAGGCAGATGCTTAACAACTGAGCCACCCAGGAGCCCCTTACTCTGGCCTTTTAAGTCGGATCTTAATACAGAGTACCAATGTACATCTTCCACTTTGTAAAGCTTTTCTGTTTTGTAATATTTTATATACTTTTTAGTTTTGTAACTTGGATTATCTCTGAAGCTGAGTCTTATGAGCATGATGGGGTGGGATGCCCGCAGGGAGGTTTCTTTCTGCTTAAGCTTTATTGGATTTTCTGCAGATAAAATAGAGTAAGGGCTCCCTTTAGAATATTTTGCTAAAGTTGAATATTTTGAGAGGGAAATGTACAGGTGTCTTTAATTTACTTTGATATATATTAAAAATAAAAAGGATGGAGAGATGGATAGAAATGCTACAAAGCAAGTACAGCAAAATGTGAATGGTAGCTGTAAAATTCTTTAAACTTTGCTGTGTGTTTGAAAAATTTTTTTTTCTTTAAAGATTTTATTTATTTATTTAATTGACAGAGAGACAGTGAGAGAGGGAACACAAGCAGGGGGAGTGGGAGAGGGAGAAGCAGGTTTCCCGCTGAGCAGGGAGCCCGACGTGGTGCTCAATTCCAGGACCCTGGGATCATGATCTGAGCCAAAGGCAGACACTTAACGACTGAGCCATTTTTGTTTAAAGATTTTATTTATTTATTTGAGAGAACGAGAGAGAGCACAAGTGGGGAGGAGGGGCAGAGGGAGAGGGAGGCGTGGAACTCGATCCCAGAACCCTGAGATCATGACCTGAGCCAAAGGCAGACATTTAACCGACTGAGCCACCCAGGTGCCCCTTGAACATTTTTATAATAAATTATTTATTTTTTTGGAAGAACACCGGAAATTAAGTTTGTTGTATTCATGTAGTCAATTTAGAATATTTGAATGTCCAAAGAATACCAACTTCCATGTAAAGGCATTCTTTTAACCTTTTCCCAAATTGTACCATCTTATGAAGTTTTAAAGAAAAAGAGTCAGCAAGAATTTTTTTTTATTAAAGATTTTTATTTATTTGAGAGAGAATGAGAGAGAGCACGAGAGGGAAGAGGGTCAGAGGGAGAAACAGACTCCCCGCCGAGCAGGGAGCCCGATGCGGGACTCAATCCCGGGACTCCAGGATCATGACCTGAGCTGAAGGCAGTCGCTTAACCAACTGAGCCACCCAGGTGCCCGAGGCAGCAAGAATTTTTAAGAAATCTTTTCTTTCAAAGGAATTAATAATTACAGATCACCTTGGGTGATCAGAACAAAACCACAAGAGAAAATTAACATATATTTTAATCACAACTAGATTTTGATAGCTTAGAGCCTGATTATTGGAACAACTGGATCTGGGAGGTGGGTGTGGGAGTTTTTTGTTTTGTTTTTTTTTTAACGAAGACAAAATAATATTCCAGTTAAGAGATGATGTTTGGGGGATGCCTGGGTGGCTCAGTCAGTTAAGCGTCTACCTTTGGTTCAGGTCATGATCCTGGGGTCCTGGGATCGAGCTCTGCATTGGGCTCCCCGCTCAGTGGGGAGCTTGCTTCTCTCTCTCCCTCTGCCACTACCCCTGCTTATACTCTCTCTCTGTCAAATAAATAAATAAAATCTTAAAAAAAAAAGATATTTGGAATAGTAAACTTCGTTGAAAGATTAAAGCATATAATGGGTGTATCCACCTCAAAATAATTTCAGTTTTGGAAATTACTTGACAAATTTTTGTGCTTCTCCATTCTGTTCTTAAAAACCTCAGGCTCCCTGAGTTGTATAGTATTTTCCCAAATACACCCATTACATAAAATTACCATTTAAAATGTTCATCTTGTGTAACAGGTTACAAAAGTCAAATCTGATTCTCTCATATTCATAAGCTATACATGAGTAATAGTGACTAACATTTACATAGTGTTGTATGAATTCTGCATAATAAGGATGGACTGACTTATAAGTGTTCCAAAGAATTTGTAATATTACTACTTATTAATGAACCATGTAAAATAAACAGAAAGCATTATAATGCTTACTGAAACTTTAGATTCTGAATATTATTTTATCAAATGGCTATGTAACTTAAGGCCTATTTTAAAATACACTTGTAGATATACAAAAGTCACTTAATGGACTATCTTATTTTCAGTTTCATTGAATTTTATTTTATTCAATTTATTTGTTTATTTCAGAAATATCACAAAATTTTTCCATTGAAAATATTGCTTCTTTAAAGTTTAAATGTTGACTGTTGGCTCTGTTGAGAATTTATTTTAGAATGCATTATTTTAAAAATTTCACATATTTCTAAAGGAACAAAGGTCTATATATGTCTTGCTGAATTTTCTATTTTCTATTCTGAGTAGTTCAATACCAAAGAGTTCCAATATAAGTATGCACTGATCCTGAAGTCAGTTTGAGTTCTGCCATTTGAGAAGAATAACATATACAGAAATAATACATTATTTTTGTAAGAAATTTGCCTTTCTTTAGGGTATGGGATCTGTTAATTATATTGAAATGCTTTCTTTTCTAGGTCATTCATGCCTGGCTTATTATTTCATCTCTGTTGTTGCTGTTCTTTTTCTCATTCATTTACTTGGGGTAAGTGGTGAAATATTCTGTTTTTCAGAAATTAACTCTGAGCTATATAACTGTCACTTAAAGCCATGTACTTTGTTGATGAAATACTCTTAAATTATGATTGTTTCCATATGTAGTTTGTACTTGGTATGTTTAAGACTAATTAGTATTATAAAATATATTTTTTTCATGGCTGCACTAAATTTCATTTTATGAAAATAATGTATGTCCTAGCTATAAAATTTATTGTGGATGTTTAATTTTTCTAATTTCAGATATTTTAAACTAGGGTTTCTTTCCATTGTGGCATTTTTTTTCTTTTAAGATTTTACTCATCTAAGAGCCTGTACACGCGAGGGGGTGGGGAGGGACAGAGGGAGAAGTAGACTTCCTGCCAAGCAGGGAGCTGGACATGGGACTTGATCCCAGGACCGGGATCATGACCCGAGCCAAAGGTAGAGGCTTAACTGATTGAGCCACCGAGGCGCTCCATCCATTGTGGCATTTTAAGTGATATGTGGCCTTTCTTTAGTTTTTGTATTTACTTTTACAGCTATGACCTATGATACTGGTTTCCCATTTGTATGAATGATACAGAGTTTTCTGTTAAAGTAAGCTCAACTTGAGAGAAAAAGTGAATTTAAAGAAAACTGTTAAATAGCACAGTTTGATATAAGATATGGTAAAAATATGAAGGTAGGATATGAATATCTAATTTGAGGGAACCATATTTCTAAACAATGTTTTGATGAAAATTACTGTACATAAATAATTTTAGATCTCTGTTTAATTTTTTTCAGGGAAGTGTTTAAAACCTACAATGTTGCCATGGACTACATTACTGTTGCACTCCTGATCTGGAATTTTGGTGTGGTGGGAATGATTGCCATTCACTGGAAAGGGCCTCTGCGACTCCAGCAGGCATATCTCATTATGATCAGTGCCCTCATGGCCCTGGTATTTATCAAGTACCTTCCAGAATGGACAGCATGGCTCATCTTGGCTGTGATTTCAGTATATGGTAAAACTCAAGACTGACATTTTGTTCATCACAGAAGTACCTCACTGGTGTGTTTCCCTTCCTTTTCCAGTTATCTTGACTTAGGAGAGTGATAACAGTTACACCTCATAGCTCTTCAATAAATAATTAATTAGCTATAGTGTCTTTTTCATACAAAGATTTCCATTTTTTTGAGGTTCAGTTCTTTAGAAATGTTGTCTTATTGTCCCCCAGTTTAAGCCAGTGATGGATTAGTGGAAGGATCCATAGACTTCTGTTCAGAAGACTTAGATTTAAAACCTGTCTCCACCACCAACAGTCTTTGTGATGCTAAGAAAAAGCCTGACTCTTTGAGCTTCAGTTCCCTCATTTGGAAAATGGGCACGGTACTTCTGAGTTGTAAGAGTTCAGAACCTATGTTGAAAAGCACTAGCAGAGTGCTTCACACACATAAAATGCTCAATTAGTTTTTAAATCAAAATTAGAACACCTACTTTTTATAAGGCAACTTGGGTAGAATTATTCTTTTAAAAACAAAACTTACTTTGGCAGTGTGAGATTCAAATTGATTAACAACGAGTGTCACATGGGTTCCAAACGGTCACAGTGTATCTTTGCCATGAATGACAAAAGCAGCTGTATAGGTGTGTGCTCTCCGGCTGTCACCCTGCATGAAAGCCAGAAAGAGAGCCACTTCCAGAGGTCAGTATGTGGTCTCTATATAATAATTTTATCCCTATTCAAATGCTTATTAAAATGTCAGGTGACCTGTAGTAGGAATCCTCATCATCCCCACTTGATGAGGAAAAAGTCCATGGAAATAGAATTAAATGGTTCTGTTCTCATATTTGAGCAAGCAGTCCTAGAACTATAGTCATGTACTTTCTGTGTCTTTCATAAAGACCTTAGGTGATATAGCACTTGATGGTTTGCAGAGTCCCGGTGTATTATTGTATCGCTTTGTTCTGGCCAACTCTGGCCCCCACCCAATCAGCAACTGGTAAATACTTTGCAGTCAGAGGTTTTACTAGTATGTTCTTCTGTTCAGTGACTTTTTCTACAGCTGCAGTTTGCCTTCACCTTCAGAGGGACACATTGTATCATTACCTGGCTGCTGGTGGAATTCTTCCGCAGCCCTACCTTTGCATACAATTTTTGTTGACTAGATCTTAACCACATCCAGCTTTCTTCAGGAGCACAGATCGATGATATTATCCTCTGAAGAGATTCATTTGACATATTCATTGAAGACATACAAATAGTCACACAGGAGCTCAAAAAAAGGGGGTGGGCATTTGCCTGTACATAGTACAAGGCTTTGCCACCCTGGTTGAATTCCTGAAGATTATTTAGTAAGGCTTCTGTATCTCTGACACTGTCAAGAAATAGCAACAGAACCTCCCTACACCCACAATGTTAAAACAAGCCCAGTATATTTTAGGGCTTTTTGGGATCTGGAGGCAGCATATTCCTCATTTACAAATTTTATTTAAGCCTGTTTGTACTGTTACAAATTGGCCCATCTTGAATTGGGGCCCCCGACGATAAAGAGCTCTAGAATCTGTCCAGATTGTAAGAGAACAGTCACTTCTGTTAAAGTCCCCTCCAGAGAATCATTCACTGTAGAAGCTATAGCAACCTACTCTCACACCTGAAATCTCTGGACCACCCATGATGATCAGAAGTTGCTCATGGATTCTGGTTTGAGAAACTGCCCTCCTCAGTCCCATGCTGTACACCCTTAGAGAGGCAGTTGGAGAGCGCATACTGAGCTCTCCTGGAAACAGGTTCTCACAGGCCCTGAACCCATGAAGCTCCACGTCATTCTCTGGGTTATGGAGGCAGCATTCTACAAGCTCAGGCCAGCTACCAGGGCCTCCTTGCTAATGTTACCTACAGGATACAGCTAAGTCTGGGCCTTCTGGAGTATCACACCTACAAGAGAGGCGGCGGCTTCTGTTCTCAGTCCCTTGCTTGTTGACAAGGTTCTAGAGGAGCTCACCCCTTTCTTGGACCTGTGGCTACCTGGGGAGCCAGTGAACAGAAGTGGGAGTTTGTACACCTTATGAACAGCATCAAAATTATATGTGATGAAGCTTACTGAAGAGCTCCTTCTTTTCATTACCTAATCCAGACATCCTTGATTGAGGAGTGAGATCCAGGGGTCAGCAAAATTAGATGAACTTTAGCCAGTCACCTTATCCTAGTCAACAGTTGGCTCCATCTGTGCTTTTTTACAGACTCTTGGGCCACTGCCATGGTTTAATCATCTGGTTCCACCAATGATAGCAACAGCAGTTACTTATCCAAGGTTTTCCTCTTTGAGGAAAATGACTACAAGAATCTCTGGCCTCACAGATACTCAAAATATGTATCAAGGTTATACATGTCCCTGTACATACTAAAGCCACAGTACAGACCTCACTTTATCCATTGTGGACTTGCAGACGTTGTTAATAGTGCCCATCTCACCTGTAAAGGTATACAATGCTGGGCTCTTGAACAAGTGTTTCAGTGGGACTTTCACCGTCCCTACCAGCCTCGGGCTACAGACCTCAGAGAGCACCATTGTGACAAACTCAATCCAGTTAAAATTTAATTAAATGGAACATGGCATATATGTATCATCAGTCAGACATCAGAGGTGAATTTTAATAAAGAGTCTGGTTCTATTTTTGTATGTTCAAAAACAACAGAGTGCCAGTTCTGGAGGCAGCCATATCTGGTTCAAATCCAGGCTCCTCTCCTATCATTTATTGGCTGTGTGACTAGCACAATGATCAACCCTTAAGTCTTAGTTATTATGAAGATTAAATGAAAAAATACATATAACACACTTAGAACAGTATCAATAAATGTTAGCTGTTATTTTTTAGAATATATAATCCTGTAAAGTAATCAAGGCAGTAATTCCTGTTTTACTGGACCTAATAGACCTGAAGTTTAGAGAGGTGAAGTATTTGCCCAAGCTTAACACTCTTTGGTCTAGAATCTGAATCCCAAGTCCAGTATTCTTTCTACTACGTTACACTATTTCTCCCATCAACACTCTTTCTTCCATACATGATACAAATGATTATTTCTCCAGATCTTTGAGTTCCTTTAAGAGACTTTTGTATCCACTACTTAGAGTAGTGATTCTCAAGTCCCTTTTTACAATGTCTGAAGATTTTTTAATTTGTCCCACAGGTTCTAAAATTTTTTAAGCAAAATTCACTTTAATTGCTCTAAAAATAAGGGAGTTTAACATTTAGCACTTCTATTAGGGGCAGCATGTCATAAAACCAAGGTAGTTACAGGACATGCAGCTTCAAACAGGTTGAAAATCTCCTTATTTCAGAGGGCAGCAAATCTCCCTTTTCTCATCCAAAACAAATCAAAGTGGAAGCAGTGAGAGCAGAGAATTCTTTGTGTGTGTTTTATTATATCAGTGGTAGTCAATGTAGTATTCAAGGAGACATGACCACTTGCAGGTGTGAGGGGGTTTTTTTTTTTACTTAAATGCATCTGAATGATGGTGATGTCTACACAAGCTGTGAAGTCTTCCTTCACAAATTTAGCTACACCTGTTTTAATATTTTTAAATGTTTGAAATTTTCTGTACTTCTATATTCTGGATTTTTATGGCACAGAAAATGTCAGAAAAATTGCAGTTGATGGAAAGAGATGGTGGTAGAATCAAGAATAGTTTAGGCAAATTGCTTTTGTTCTGAGTTGCTGTTTTTTTGAAAAAATAACCCACTTTTCAGCACCACATGCATTCTAAGACCTGACAGTGTGAAGTGCTTTTGACAGAAATACAAAAGAAATACTAAAAGGTTTTCATGCAAAGATTTATTTTGTTTTGTTTAAATTTACTATCCTTTAATTCAAGTATCCCTAAGTAGTACATACACTATTTTTAAAAAGGAAAGGGAATGATTCTGTTACACTGCTCTTCATATTTTGAAAAATTCGGTCATCCCCTCTATTAAATTCCTCTCGTTGTAAAGCTTCTATCTGTGGCTCGTAGATATGATTTGTTCAGAAATGGCTTGTCTTTGTTTCTGCTTATTGGAAATTGACAATAGCTCTAGAATAGTTCTGTCTTGTCATTATCTCTGCCTCTTTTCTTCAAACCGGGAAGACTTATTCCTGGAACTCTGTGATGATACACTGTAAACTAACCAAATAGGCAAATCCAAAGCAAAATTTACACTGATCATCTGTGTGGTTTTGTGTATTTTGTTTAGGTTGTTTTTCCCCCATCTGTTCACCTGCTGTTTATTTCGTATTCATTCAACATCTTCCTGCGTAAACAAGACATTAACCCATTTCCCTTGGTTAATTCCTCCCTAACACACCCATTTGTAAGTTTAGCCAACACATTTTTCCAGATTTTTTTTTTTCTCTTTCTAGATTTAGTGGCTGTTTTGTGTCCAAAAGGCCCACTTCGTATGCTTGTTGAAACAGCTCAGGAGAGAAATGAAACTCTCTTTCCAGCTCTTATTTACTCCTGTAAGTATTTTGGAATGATGTTAAATTAGTACTCAGCTTAGAATTTATAGGAACTCAAACACATGTAATTATGGTCATTATTATGATACTTTTTCCTCATGTTAAATGCATAACATTAAGACAACTTCTACACATCCCTGTTGCCTTGCAAACTATTGTCTTCCACCTGACACTAGTTCAAGAGAGTTTTCAGTAGGTGTAGAAATAGAAGAAATATTTAGAGAGTGGGGAGCCATTACTCTCATTTAAAATCTTGTTAGTCTGGGATGCCTGGGTATCTCAGTCAGTTGGGCATCTGCCTTCGGCTCAGGTCATGATCCCAGAGTCCTGGGATTGAGCCCCACTTCGGGCTCCTTGCTCAGCAGGGAGCCTGCTTCTCCCTCTTGCCTGCAGCTCCCCCTGCTTGTGCGCGTGCTCTCTCTCTCTGACAAATAAATAAATAAAGTCTTTTTTAAAAAATAATAAAAAAAATAAAATCTTACTAGTCTAGAGTTATCGAGCACTTTTTTTTTTTTTAAGATTTTTATTTATTTCAGAGAAAAGAGAGAACACAAGTAGGGGGAGCAGGAGAGGGAGAAGCAGGCTTCCGGCTGAGCAGGGAGCCTGATGCAGGGCTCAATCCCAGGACCCTGGGGTCATGACCTGAGCCGAAGGCAGACGCTTAACCGACTGAGCCACCCAGGTGTCCCAAGAGTTATCGAGCACTTACTACAGAGGAATCTTGCCCTAGCTTACTGAAAAAATTGTACTGTTCCTTCACAATGTGCCCCTTTTTTGTTATTTTAGGATCCCGTTCTTCCTAATCACTCAAGTGTGCATTTGGGCATTGACCTGCTGCCACAGAACACTGTGGGAGACATAAAGATGTTTAAGATACTTTGTCTTACTCAGAGCTCCTTTGCTTATAGTTTAGAGGTGAGATAAAACAAATGTATAAATAAGCAACATCCAGCATTGTTACCAGATTCAGAGGAGGCACAATTGAAGTGTAAAGAGAGTTCAGAAGAAGGAAAACCTGGCTGGGGAATCAGGGAAGGCTTTGTGGCTGAGAGAGCATTTGGATTGAACCTTTTAAGGATGGTGGGATTTCAGCAAACACAGATGGGAGAGTTGATTCCATAAGTGGGCTTGTCAAATAATGGCTTTGAGACGTAAATGTGAAGTATCTTTATCAAATTTCAGGTGTTTAGATTGACTAGAACATGGAGTAAAAATGGGGGAAGTTCTAGGAGGATGAGTTTGGGAAGGCAGATTGGGGCAAGATCTGGGATAGCTTTGAGTGGCTGGTTTAGATATCTGTATGCTATTCAGTGATCACTGGGAAATCAAAGGTTCCTGAGCACAAGAGTAATGTGACCAGAGCTGTGGCTCCATAGGCTTGCAGCATTGTGCAAGTTGAATTGTGGGTGGTGAGAACTGAGGTGATGGCTAATAACGAAGCAGATATGGTCACAATCTAAGTGGGAAATAATGAGGATCTGAATTGTGGTATTGTTAATGGCAGATCCAGGAAGAGGACTGATTGACAAGAGGTTTTAGAGGTAGAATCAGTAGTTCTTAGCAACTGATGAGAGAAGTTTTAAGCCTGAAGGAAAGGTGATGAAGAAGAGGTGTTTTTCTTGTTTGAGGAACATTTAGTTTGTCTGTAGCCCGTATCTTACTTAATTGGTGGGACCTGTGAACCAGGTAGAAATTCCCAGCATAAGTTTAGAAGTGAAGTACTAGTGCTTGGGGAATGGTTGATTAGAGGTGCGGAATTGAAAGCGTAGCAGAGGTAGTTGAGACTTCGGAAGTGGATGAGTCGTTCAACAAAAGTGGATGAGAAGAGGATGTCAAGGACAGAATTTTGTCAACTCCTGTGTTTAGAGAAAGAAAAAATGAAGAGAAAACAGTAAAGGGAAGAGAAGAAAATTGGGAGAGTCAGGATTTTTCACTTAACAATATCAGGACATGTTTTCCATGTCAGCATGGGAAGTGGCTGCATTAAGTATTCTCTATATAGATACTCAGAGAAGCATGTCCTGGTTGATAGACCTTTAGATCATTTCCATTTCTTTTCTGTCACAAACAGTGCTTGTAGAGATCACCTATCTTTGTGAAATTTTTTGTGTGATACAGTTTTTAAAATGGAATTGCTAAGTCAAAGCATGTATGCTTTTAAATTTTGATGGATCCAAATTGCCTCCTAAAAAGGCTATACCAGTTTATATTTCCTTTAGTAGTGTGAGGTACCAGTTTCCTTATACCTTCATTATTACGTGTGTGTGAAACTAAGAGGCGAAAAATAACCTCGTTTTATTTTGATCTTGGCTTATTAACTAATAACTATTAGTGATTATTTGGACTTTTTTTCATGTTTTTCTTAGCTATATACTTATATTTCTTGTTTTGTGACTGGGTATAATATTCTTTTCCATATGGATTTTCAAGACTTTTAATTGCACAAGTAATACATTAATGTATTATGCTAGAAAAAATTAAATATTGTAGATAAAGCTAAATTTCACTATAACTGTCATCCCTAGGAGCGCCTGGGTGGCTCAGTCATTAAGCGTCTGCCTTTGGCTCAGGTCAGGATCTCAGGGTCCTGGGATCGAGCCCCACATCAGGCTCCCTGCTCAGCGGGAGGCCTGTTTCTCCCTCTCCCACTCCCCCTGCTTGTGTTCCCTCTTTCGCTGTGTCTCTCTCTTTGTCAAAAAAAACCAAAAAACAAAAAAAACTGTCATCCCTAATCTTAATACCTTAGCAAGCAGTTACCCCTGTTATCAGTTTGATATATCCTTGTAGACTTTTTTTTTTTTTTTGGCCTATTTTTCTGTTGGGTTATTGGAAAAACAGAGTTTCCAGAAGGAAAGAACACCAATGCTCTAAAAGAAGCCAAAGATGAGGACGAAGTAAACCATATAGAATTTGGTGCCTTGGGACATCTTTAGTGACATTTAAGAGAACAATTTCAGTAGAGTGGTAGGGCCAGAAGCAATGCTCCAAAGGGAGGGCAGTGTGTCTGTGTTTTGCTGTTGCTGGCGGTGGAAGTTACGGTGTGGCCAGAGAATGGGTGGTGAGGGAGGAGAGGTACAGTAAACATCACCTGCTACAGAGATTCCTGTCCGCAGGCAGAGCAATGGTGACCTGAGGGGAGAGCAGGCCTGAGGAAAGGTGTTTCCAGGAGATAGAAGATGTAATTGTGTTTCTAAGGTTGAGGGGAAGAAGCCAAGTAGAGAAAGCCTTTGAAGAGACCAGCAAGAAGGAATGATTAATGGAGTGAGGTTATCAACAAAGCAGGTAGAAATTGCTCTGAGAGTTCAGGAAGAGGAATTAGAAGAGAACAGGGAAAGACTTGGAAGGAAGGAAAAGGAAGACAGAAAAGGCAGAAGGTAGTAAGACATAGTGAAAGAGAGAGGTAAAGTTGGGAGCACGTTGTAGTTGACCTTCATCTTTCTTGTGAACTCAGTGTGAGATCATTTGGGGGAAGTGGAGAGACGAGGACTATGCTTGTATGTGGAGAAGTCTGGTCAAATATTAGAAAACTCATTGTCTGGAATGCAAGGATCTTTGTTTTGCTCTTTTTCCAATATGAATTTATTATCATGTGCTTCCTGTGTTTTTTGGCAGAAAAGAGCAGGTGAAGTTTTGAACATCAAAACTCTTAATTTTTCTCTTAATCAGCATTTGGGTGTGAGCTTCTTATGTGTTATTCCTGGAAATTAAAATCAACTATGTATTTTATATTTGTGCATACAGAATGTCCCGCCAAATGTTGATAGTGAATCCTGGGTGGAAGTAACTTAAGTATCCATCAAAGGGAACACTTTCAAATAATTATGGTACATTCATACAATAGATAATTATGCAGCCATTAGAAAGAATGAGGTAGCTCTGTATATGTCCAGTTGTTTTTTTTAATGTTAAAGATTATATACTAAATACAGAAAGCAAGATTTAGTGATGCCTAGGTGGCTCAGTTGGTTAAGCATCTGCTTTTGGCTTAGGTCGTGATCTCACGGTCCTGGGATCAAGCGCTGTGTCGGGCTTCCTGCTCATTGGGGAGTCTGCTTCTCCCTCTCCCTCTGCCCCCCCCCCCGCTTGTGTGCTCTCTGTCTCTCTCAAATAAATGAATAAAATCTTTTTAAAAAGCAGAAGAAAGCAAGATTTAAGCAATAATGCAATACCCTATGGGAGGAAGGGAGCTATATTTGGATTTGGGTGTGTGTGTATATACAATCCCGATGATACATTTAAAAAACTGAGAAAAGGCTAATAGTGTTTACCCCTGGGAAGTGGGATTTAGAGAGTGAGGTAACTTTTATATTTTTCTTTATGCCTTCTTCCACTTGTAGAGTTTTAATTGTACTTTGTGTGTTTTATTTATTTTTATTTTTTAAAGTTTTATTTATTTGAGAGTGAGAAAGAGCACAAGTCAGGGGCAGAGGGAGAGGGAGAAGCAGGCTCCCTGTTTATATGTATTTTTGTATTATTGTTGGTGTATTTTTGGTATAAATTCCCAAAAGTGGTATTCCTGGGTCAAAGAGTTAATGCACAGGTAGTTTTTTGTTAATTGTGGTATAGTTGACGTACAGTCTTACAGTAGTTTCACACATACAGCATAGTGATTCGGTATTTACATACATTATGAAATGTGCACCATGGTAAGCATAGTTACCATCTGTTACCTTACAAAGTTATTATAATATTATTGATTATATTGCTTCCCTTGCTGTACTTTACATCCATGACTTATTTTACAACTGGAAGTTTGTAGCTCTTAATCCCCTTCACCTATTTTGCCCATCCCCCCTCCACTCTGGCAACCACCAGTTTCTTCTCCGTATTTATGAGTTTGCTTCTGTTTTGTCTTGTTTATTCATTTGTTTTAGCATAGTAGCATAAACATTTAGGTCCATCCATGTTGCAAATGGCAAGATTTCATTCTTTTTTTTTTTTATTAAGATTTTACTTAGTTTAGAGCTAGAAAGAGAATGAGCTAGCATCGGGAGGGGGTGGGGTAGGAGGTAGGGACAAGCAGACTCTGTGCTAAGTGCGGAGCCCAACATGGGGCTGGATCCCACAACCCCAAGATCATACCCTTAGCTGAAATCGAGTTGGATGCTTAACTGTCTGAGCCACCCAGGTGCCCCAACTTCATTCTTTTTTATGGCTGAGTAATGGCATGTAGTTTTGTTAGATGTTACCAAATTCCCTTTCAGTAAGGGGCTATATAGGGGCTCTTCCATTTTTCATCCCACCTGCAATATATGAGAAGCACCATTTTAATGTATTCATGTTGTCCCTTAAAATATGACAGAGATGTATGTGTTATATATTTAGATCTCTATGGATTATATGTATTTTTGTGGAAGGGACATAGAATAGGCCGGTTGACTATCCCCCTTTATGTTTATTGCTTTTAACCTTTTTTTATTCCTTGTATATCACAGTTTAGCATTATTGAATATCCCAGAGGTCAGGCATCCTTAGAATCATAATGATTATGTGATACTTTTGAGAATCCCGGTTTGTCCTCTAATTTAGTTCCAATAAGTAATTTTCATCAGTGTTTTTCATCAGTGATTTCACATTATTTTAGGATATTCAACTAGTCCAGCTGTTTTTTCAGTAGGGTCTTGCTGGCCTGAACAGTTTTCCCTATGGTTACTTTTCAGGGACTGGAAATGATGAAATTTATGGTTTTACAATAGCAGCTGTAGTTTGAAGCCTAGAGTAAACTCTCAGTTGTAGAATTTTTTCTTTAGGGTCGCCTAGGTGGCTCAGTTGTTAAGTGTCTGCCTTTAGCTCAGGTCGTGATCCCAGGGTCCTGGGATCGAGCCCCGCATCGGACTCCCTGCTTGGGGGGGAGCCTGCTTCTCCCTCTCCCGCTCCCCCAACCCTGCTTGTGTTCCCTCTCTCACTATGTCTCTCTCTGTCAAATAAATAAATAAAATCTATAAAAAAAAAAAAAAAGAATCTTTTCTTTAATCTGCCAAAATCAAAGAAAGTCTTTTGTGGTTTTAAATATGCATTTATTTAATTAACTTAATTAATGCATATTTAAATATGCAATTTCTGATTGTTAAGGATTCTTAAGGCAACATTAAGAAGATTGGTGATTTCTGTAGAAAGATAATGGCCTGTTCTCTATTCATGTACTTTCTGTGTTTCAAGTTCTTACCTGGATTTTTGTCTTTCTCATTAGCAACAATGGTGTGGCTGGTGAATATGGCAGAAGGAGATCCAGAAGCCCAAAGGAATGTATCCAAAAACTCCAATTATAATGCACAAAGTAGGTGTCTTTTATTTGGTAATTTCCTGGTTTTTCCGGGTCATTGTCCTGTTATATTGGCTAACAGTGAGCTATGAAGCAGTGATTTTAACCTCTGTCTTTGGTCATGGACTCTTGAAAATCTCCTGGAAGCTATGGTAATACCAGTAAATACAGATAAATATTTAAGAAATTCAGGTATTCTAAACCCAACCATACAGCCAAGAAACCTAGGTAAAGAATTTCTGCCATTAAATACCATTAATACCAGTATGGAAAGGTTCAAGTTGAGGCTGTGATTTAAAAAAGAAAAAATAATCTTGCTCTCCAAACGTGTAAAACTGAGAGCCTCTTGTCTGATATGGCCAGCGTAACTTAAATATAATTTGACTTGAGATGCGATCGTGTTTATGCCAAGAAGATAAAATATTCCAGGTGGACATGACTTTCTGAAGGAGGATAAAACTGATGATCCAGGCTGGGAGATTGAAAGCCCTCTTGTGGATACACAGAAGATGTTAAGGCAAACAGAAGTTAGGAGTTGTTAGAATTGGAGTAATGGCACACTTAAAATAGTCAAGAAGAAAGGAAACTTTTTTTTTTAAGATTTTATTTATTTAATTGACAGAGACAGCGATAGAGGGAACACAAGCAGGGGGGTAGTGAGGGGGAGAAGCAGGCTTCCCGTGGAGCAGGGAGCCCGACTCGGGGCTCGATCCCAGGACCCTGGGACCGTGACCTGAGCCGAAGGCAGACGCTTAACAACTGAGCCACCCAAGTGCCCCAAGAAGGAAGAAAACTTTAAAGGAAAAAAAAGAGCTAACCTTAGAGGAAGCTGTGAGAAATAGGCAAAGATTGGTGAGAGAAGAAAAAAGGGCCTTAACTGGGTTACTGTCTGTCGGGAAAAGGAAAGTTTAGGTTTAAAGAGCCATGAAGTCCGCTGAGTTAGAATTTGGGTAACAGCAAAGAGCACACTTTTAACTGGAAATTCTGCAGTGAGCAAGGCAGCAGAACCAGTAGGAGACCTGGTGGAGAAGAAGGAAATATATTGGAAACAATTGCTATAAGTCTGGCTATTGTGTTGATCTGTGTTAAGCTAAAGACAATTAAAAGATGAGTTGTCTGTGAGTATATATATGAGTCTGGTGAAAAAGATTTTATTCTTTTGACAAATATTTTTAAGATTTCTATTTATTCATTTGAGACAGAGAGATAGAGAGAAGAAACATGAGCAGGAGGGGAGGGAGAGGGAGAAGCAGACTCTCCAAAGCATAGGGAGCCCAACGTGGGGCTTGATCCCAGGACCTGGAGGTCCATGAACTGAGCCGAAAGCAGATGCTTAACCATCTGAGCCACCCAGGCGCCCCTTGACAAATATTGATTGAGCGCCTAACTGTGCGCCTGGTATTTTCCTAGGCACTGGGAATGTAGCACTGAACAAGATATCCTGTCCGTTTGGAGCTTATAACCTATTTGGACAGACACAAATGTTTAACAAATAATTCCATAAATAATTCATTCATACAGTTGTGATAAGCACTACAAAGGAGAAGTATGGTTGCTGTGAAAGTTTATAGTAGAGGAGTATCATTTTTGAGATGTAAAGTCAGGAAGGCTTCCCTGAGGAAGTGATAATAGGTGACAACCAGCTGACAAGTAGAACTTTCCAGAAGAGGAAACAACGCGAAAGAGCCTTGAAGTTAGAAGGAGCTAGGTGAACTTACAGAGTTCCTCAGTGGGAGTGCTGTGGTATTTTGGGTGGGCATTTCTTCATTGTGTGGCACTTCCCCTCGTTGCAGGTTTTTTAGCACATCTGGCCCCTCACTCACTAAATGCTAACAGTGGCTTCAACGTATTGCAGTAGGCAAAAAGCCCTCCATCCTAGATATTTCCAAACACCCCCTGGAAGGGAGGTGCTACCCACTAGCTAAAAAACTCTGTTAGAAGACCTAGAAGTTAGATTGGAACAGAAAGACATAGGGTTCCAAAAGGGGTGGCTTGAAAGGTTCGCAGGTAGGAGTGAGGAGGTATGGGGCAGAGCAGGGACTGCTGTTTTTATTTATAAATCTTAGGCTTATATGATTTTGTAAACTCCAAACCATGGAAGATTCAGGATTTGTTGAGGACTTGGTTAAGAAAAAGAATACGAGTTATAAATACAGAATTGCTGTCGCCTCCCTGAAGAATTCCGTGTGAGAGGCCTGAAGTGTATCTTCATGGTAAATCTACCTCTATGAACATGTTTTACTTTTATTAAATATAATAATGAAGGAAGAAAAAAGTTATCAACTTCATTTACATATCCTAATTATCTTTGATGTATGGACGTTTCTCAAGACTGTCATGTTATGCTCACAATTTTCAGTCTGATTGATAGTCATTATAACAAAATGACTGACCCATAAAAAAATTCACCCCCTCCTTTCCTACCCCACCCCACAATAATGGTCTACTTTTTATCTTAGTCACTGAAGCCACAGGTGAGTGTCATCAGTTAGGCTTTCAGCTGCCAAGATCAGAAAACCCAACTCAGTTGCTTTAAACAAAGAAGATTATGTTCTCTCATGTGACCAGAAGTCCTGAGGTGCAGGCATTTATAGGGTTGGTCAGTTTTATGATCCACTGATGTCATCAAGGGCCCAGGTTCTTTCCATCTTCCTGCTCTGCCATTCTTAAGATACCGGTTTGGTCCTCAGCCCGCTGCTTCTCATGGTCAGAAGATGACAACTGTAGTTCCAGCCATTATATCCAGATGAGACATCATCCAGGGTTAGAAAGGGGCTGTTTGTTTCTTCCTTGAGTCTCAAAGAGTGAGAAAAATTTCCCCCAAATTCAGAGCAGACTTTGCCTCACCACACATTGGCTAGTATCAGCCCCACCCTTAGAGCTTTCATTGGGAAGAGGAATGAGGTTACCATGCTTGGCTTGGCTTGGCTTGATCATGATTTACTGCTAGAGACATGTGCATGAGAGGTGGAAACCCAAAGAAATCAGGACTCTGCCCTCAGGAAACAAGGAGGAAAATAGTTATTGGTCAAGCAAACGTCAGGCATTTTTACAGCTTATTTGTGGTTTAAGAACCAACTAACCTAGTTATATGACAGTTGGGTAGTTACCGTTTCCATGTAGTTTTCTTAAAGGTATTAAGAAATTTTTCTAAATGTTACAGAGCTGTAATCTCTACTTTCTCTTGAAGGCACCGAAAGCGAGACCCAAGACCCTGTGACAGAGAGCGATGATGGTGGCTTCAGTGAAGAGTGGGAAGCCCAGAGGGACAGTCACCTAGGGCCTCATCATTCTACGACTGAGACACGAGCTGCTGTGCAGGAACTTTCCAGCAACATCCTTGCCAGTGAGGATCCAGAAGAAAGTATGTGCATTTCTCTGTGTTCAACAGTCATGGGTTCCTTTATGTGCTGCATTACCAACCTCTTCAAAAATAAAATGAATGGAGAGTGTTACAGTCTAATTCTGAATAACAGAGTGTAGCTTTTAGTGGGACCTACTAATAGTTGTTGCTTTTCTCATAGTTCAGTTTGTTAATGGGCCAGATTCTGCCCCTCACATTTTTGGAAATGGCCCTTTATAGACTGAATTGTGGCATTTGTTTCGTGAGGTAAAAGATATTTTCAGAATTATTATTGCAGTAAGACTTCATGACTGCAATATTTGTATACAAAAATTTCTTTAATGTATTTCCTCTTTGCTGTGCAGAGACCTGTGGATTTGAATGTTTCAGCCTTTTACACATTATTCCCTTTGCTGGCAAGCACTGTATTTTATGAATTTTAAAGAAAATCAGAGGGATTTAGGTTATGGGGAGAAATGCAAGCATTTATTCAATGTCTAAGATATGTTGGCATTTAGATTTCGGTTAGCCCTTGGGGCTTCTTGGGAACATTATCAGCCAGTAGAGCCCCTTGGTTAGGGCTCAGTCATCTCTTCAGTTAGTCTTAAAGGTGTGATTTGTTAAGAGATTAACACATATTCCAACTAAATTATTCTTGGTGTTTTTTTTTTCTTCTCACGAAAGTGAAGCCCTGGAATAAGACATTATATTGAAAATATTAAGTAGTTTTAAAGAAATAAACACCTAGATTTCTTAGCTTCTTTATTTACTGATCACTAATTATTATGATCTTGACATTATCCTTCAGCTTGAGCAGAACACTTCTTACAGCTCAGCCTTACTCTCTTAACTGGGTCAGAACCTGGGTATATCCTTGACTTTGGTGCTTTGCTGAGTTTTCCAGATGTTAGAGCCAGCTGCAGCCTGTGACTTTCACACTCCAGGGAAACTAGACAGAGTTGTCACATCTGACAGCCGGGCTTGAGCTTGTCTTTGCTGATATATTCTCTGCCTGCAAAGTTACTACTGTAATTAGGTTGACTCTTCTGTTCCTCTCTTTTGTCAAGGGTGCCTACAGCCAAAAGAAAGAAGTAATATAGCCGTTGAGCATAGAGGCAGCACGACTATTTCATGACTGCCCTTGTGTTTGAGTGCGCTCTCTCTTTTTTTTTTTAATTATGTTCAGTTAGCCACTGTATAGTACATCTTTAGTTTTTGATGCAGTGTTCAACAATTCATCAGTTATGTATAACACCCAATGCTCATCACAGCACATGCCCTCCTCAATACCCATCACCCTGTTTACTTTTTTTTTTTTTTTTTAAGATTTTACCCATTTATTTAACAGAGTGCACAAGCAGGGCGAGTGGCAGGGAGAGGGAGAAGCAGGCTCCCCGCCGTGCAGAGCCCGATGTGGGACTCTGTCCCAAGACCCCGAGATCATGACCTGAGCTGAAGGCAGACGCTCAACTGACCGAGCCACCCAGGCGCCCCATTTTTGTTTACTTTTTTTTAAGAAGTTTTTTTTTGTTTTAAGATTTTATTTATTTATTTGACCGAGACAGTGAGACACAGCGAGAGAGGCAACACAAACAGGGGGAGTGGGAGAGGGAGAAGCAGGTTCCCCCCTGAACAGGGAGCCTGATGCAAGACTCAATCCCAGGACCCTGGGATCACGACCCGAGCTGAAGGCAGACGCTTAACGACTGAGCCACCCAGGCGCCCCTTTTTGTTTACTTTTTGATAGCCTTTTAATACATTCCCAGAATTGTTCAGCCATCACCACAATTAATTTTAGAATAGTCTCATTACCTCGAAAAGAACTCACACTCCTTAGCTGTCCAGCTCTCCAATCCCTCCCATCCCCCCATTTAAAGTACATAATGCAATCATTTTTATTACATTCACAGAACTGTGCAACCATCCCCACAAGTGAATTTTAGAACATTTTCATCATGTCAAAAAGAAACCCCAAACTCATTAGCCCCCATGTCCCCCCACAACACCAACAAATACACTATTTTAATAGATTTGCCTATCCTGGACATTTCATGTAAATGGAATCCTACAATATATGGTCCTTTGTACTGGTTTCTTTCACTTAGGATTATGTTTTCAAAGTTCATCTCTGTTGTAGTGTGTGTCTGTACTTCCATTTCTTTTTATAGCCAAATAATACTGCATTTCATGTATATCCCACGTATTATTTTTATATTATATATATTATATTTATTACCCATTCATCAATTAACAGACATCTAGGCTGTTTTCATTTTGGGCTGTTATGCATAATATTGCTGTCAATACTCATGTACAAGTTTTTGTGTGGACATGTTTTTATTTCTCTTGGGTATATACCCAGGAGTGGAATTGCTGGGTCATATGGTAACTCTGTTTAACCTTTTCAGGAACTGCCAAACTGTTTTCCAAAGCAGCCATCCTTCCCACCAGCAGTGTGTGAATGCTCCAATTTTTCCACATCCTCACCAACACTTATTATCTGTCTTTTTCATTGTAATCATTCTAGTGGGTATAAAGTAATATCTTATTATGGTTTTCATTTGCATTTCCCTAATGGCTGATGATGTTGAGTATTTTTTGTGTGTGCTTATTGGCCATTTTTATATTTTCTTTGGAGAATTGTATTCAGATCCTTTGACCATTTTTATTTGTCTCTTTTTATTATTGGGTTGTAATGGTTCTTTATTCTAGCTACAAGTTTGTTTTCAGGTAAAGGCAAATTTTTTTTCCTGTATTATTTTAAAAATTTCATTTCTATAACATTTTTTTCTGAAGAATTTAGTTTTACTTATAGCACTTAACATTTGAAATCAGTCTTTCTAAAGTTATTATTTGTTTAGCCTTTGTGCGCAGAACTTTTCCTGTATTACTTTTTAACTTTTTTTTTTAAATATTTTATTTATTTATTTGAGAGAGAGAGCATGAGAGGGGGGAGGGTCAGAGGGAGAAACAGACTCCCTGCTGAGTAGGGAGCCTGATGTGGGCCTGGATCCTGGGACAGGATCATGACCTGAGCCGAAGGCAGTCGCTTAACCAACTGAGCCACCCAGGCACCCTATTTTTTAACTCTTGATAACAACTCTGAAATCCCCCATCTTAGAGCTGAGGGATTTGAGGATTAAATAGTTAATCAACTTGCTCTGGATCACACAAGTACTTAAGTAGGAGAGCTGGCCTCTTCTGTACACATGAAACTGGAGAGAGTATTCATCAGTCTGGGAAGGTTAGCAAGTTAAAGGGTGGTTGACACTGTAATTCATAGCTTCAGATTTCATGGGTCATATGTTTATCTTTTCCATTAAGGAAGATTTTGCTCTGGCTCCCACAACTCAAGAAGAACACTGGTTTCTCAGTAATATCTTATTAACCAGCACTCTGCTTCTTTCTCACGCACATGTGGAACAGATCATACCTCTCAGGGCCCTCCACCTCTATCTCCTGGAAGTGGTTCTCTAACCCAGACAACAAAACTTTAAGACCAGGCTGGCTCAAACTTCAGCTGGGAATAGTTAACAGAAAGGTGAAAGCCAGTTGTAAAGCTTTATGGATTGGTAATGGCACCCAAAGTTAAAACATATCTTTTGAATCCATTGTTTAGCCTTTACTTAATTATATATTGTTTTGAAAAGAACTTGAAGGGAAAAAATATTTGATAACAAAACGGTAGGGCCTTTGCATGTTTGTTCCAAGTTTTAGGATCAGCTTGTCATTGTCTGCAAGCTGATGGAAATGTAAAGAACTTTGAATATCCAAAACAATTTTGAAAGAGAAGAAAAAATTAGTGGATTTACACTCTCTGACATCAAAACTTACTCTAAAGGCATAGTAATCAATCCAGGCACAAGGACAGGCATATAAATCAGTGGAACAGATTTGCGAATCTAGAAGTAAACCCTTACGATTATGGTCAGTAATTTTTACAAAGGTGCTAAAATAATTCAACAGGAATGGTGCTGGGACAATTAGATATCCACATGCAAAAGAATGAATGGAAACCCCTGCCTCACCCTGTCCGTCCGTCATGCACACAATCAAAAATGAACTCAAAATGGATCATAAACTGAAATGTGTTTGTAAAACTAAAACTTTTCTAGAAGAAAACAGAAGAAAAACTTTATGACCTTGCGTTGGGCAGAGTTCTTCAATACAACACTGATACATAGAAGAAAAAATTGATAGACTGGACTTCGCCAGAATCAAAAACGTTTGCACTACAAAAGATACCATTAAGAGAAGAGATATTTGGGGGCGCCTGGGTGGCTCAGTTGGTTAAGCGACTGCCTTCGACTCAGGTCATGATCCTGGAGTCCCGGGAGTCTGCTTCTCCCTCTGACCTTCTCCCCTCTTGTGCTTTCTATTTCTCATTCTCTGTCTCTCAAATAAATAAATAGAATCTTTAAAAAAATTTAAAAAAAAGAAGAGATATTTGTACACCCAATTTCATAGCATTATCCACAGTGGCCATGAGGTGGAAGCAATGCAAGTGTCCATTGATGGATGAGTGTGTAAATAAAATGTGTATACATACAATGGAATATTGTTAGGCTTAAAAAGGGAGGAAATTCTTTTTCTATTTTTGGTTAAGATTTTTTGTTGAGAGAGCATGAGCAGGGGAGTGGCAGGCAGAGGAGGGAGAAGCAGACCCCGCTGAGCAGGGAACCCACCGTGGGGCTCCATCCCAGGACCCCAGTGATCATGACCTGAGCCGAAGGCAGACGCTCGCCTGACTGAGCCACCCAGGCACCCCAAGGAAGGAAATTCTAACAGATGCTATAACATGGATGAACTTGAGGATGTTATGCTAAGTGAAATAAGCCAGTCACAAAAATATATACTGTGTGATTCCACTTATATGAGGTACTTAGAGTAGTCAAACTCAGAAAACAGAATGATGGTTGCCAGAGGCTGGAGGGAGAGAAGGAGCCGTTTGTGTTTAATGACCACAGAGCTTCAGTTTTGCAAGATGTAAAGAATTCTGTGAATGGGGGATGAGGATGGTAGCACAGTAGTGTCAGTTTAATGCCATCGAATTGTGTATTTTACCACAATTAAAAATTTTTTAGAAAAGATACTCTTAAGGAAGAGAAGACACAGACTAAGAAAATATTTACAAATCATATTTCAAATCCTGTTGAAGAACTTGTGTTGAGGATATGTAAAGAATGCTCAGAAGCACCTGGGTGGCTCAGTCGGTGCCACTTAAGCGACTGCCTTCGGCTCAGGTCATGACCCCAGGGTCCTGGGATCAAGCCCCGCATGGGGCTCCCTGCTCAGTGGGGAGTCTGCTTCTCCTCTTCCTCTGCCTGCCCCTCCACCCCCACTTGTGGTCACTTGTTCGCTCTCTCACTCACTCTCAAATAAATAAATAAATAAAATCTTTAAAAAAATAATGCTCACAACTCAATAATAGAAGATAACTTACATATGCCCAGCACTGAACAGAGGGCCCCAGTCCAACCTCAACAGGGGCCACCTGATGAGGACTTTGAACAGATTTCTGCAATAAACATTTCTGGTTCACATTTAAATAAAATTAAAAAAAAAAGATAACCCCAGTAAAAAATAGGGAAATGCTTTGGCTAAACATTTCACCAAAGGAGAAATATAAGAGCTAATAAGCACATGAAAAGTTGCTCAACATCATTAATCAGAATGGCTATAATCAAACAGACTAGCAGTACCAAGTGTTGGTGAAGGATGTGAAGGAACCAGAATGCTCCTGTGTTGCTGGTGGCCATGTAGAGTGGTAGAGCCAGTATGGAAAACAATTTGGCAGTTTCTTACAAAACTAAAGATAAACTTACCATATAACCTAGCAATTCCATTTGTAGGAATCTACCCAATGGAAATGAAAACCGTGTCCACACAAAGATGTGTACCCTTGGTCACAGCATAATGTTCATAGCACCATTATTCATAATAGCCCCAAACTGAAAACAAGCCAAATGTCCATCAACTGGTAAAATGTATCTCATACAATGGAAAACTATTCATCAGTAAAAAGAAACCATACAGATACATGTAATATCATAGATAAACCTCAAAAATAGGTTATGTGAAAGAAGTGAGTCACAAAGACTACATGCTGTTATGAGTCCATTTCTTTGAAACGTCTCGAAGAGTCATATATAGAGAGAAAACAGGTCAGTGGTTGCAAAAGGCCTGGGGTGGTGGAAATGTGGTGGATTTTGGTGATGGTTGGACAGCTCTATAAATTTTTTTACAATAATTGAACTGTACATTTACAGTGGGTATATTTTATGAAGTAAATTATACCTATCATAGGGGTTCTTGTGAGGATTTATGAGCACAAGTGCCATGTGTAAAGACATTCAGTAAGGACAGTTATTATTTATTGTTCTTTTTATATATAACAACAGCATCTATTGTTAAAGACCCCAGAGTTAGCTACATAGAATCTGAAATTCATATTGGAGGGAACCAAAAAAGAAAACCTAGCTAAAGCCGAATTTTATGTATCATTTACTGTTTTCTCATTCAGTACAGGATGGAATGCAGCAGTGACTTTTTTTTTTTTTTTTGCGGCAGTTACATTCTTGAGTCGATCTCAAAGAGTGACGAACTTCATAATTTTTCTTTTTTTAGGGGGAGTAAAACTTGGATTAGGAGATTTCATTTTCTACAGTGTTCTGGTTGGTAAAGCTTCTGCAACAGCCAGTGGAGACTGGAACACAACCATAGCCTGTTTCGTAGCCATATTAATTGTAAGTATACACTAATAAAAACATGTCCCAGCTCCTCATCTCAAAACTCTGATTATGTCGTCCCTTTAAGGTGGTCCGTTTTAACCCCAGCTGGGCTGAGTGTGCCAGGCACCTGGAGAGCTTTAAAAAAAAAAATTGAAACTTACCTGAATGGGTTGCCACCTGGCCACCCATTAAAATCACCTGGGAGCTTCTAGAACTCTGCGTCCCTGCCCTGAGTTTGTTTGTTGTTTTGTTTTGTTTTGTTTATGTTTTATTTAAGTAATCTCTACACCCAGTGTGGGATTTGAACTCAGAACCTTAGATCAAGAGTTGCATGCTCCTCTGACTGAGCCAGCCAGGGGTCCCTGCCCTGAGATATTTAAATTAGTTTTAATTGTATGTGGGGTGTTTTTGTTTGTTTTTTTTTTAGAAGTTCCCCGGAAAGTTCTGATAGGCACCTCGGATTAGGAACTGCTGTTCAAGCCTGGCAGCATAGATATGTAGGAAGTTAGTTGTGTTAGATCAGTCTTAAAGGGGTACTTGGATCCTTACTGAGTCCCTGAGTCTGGTGGTGATTTTGCCTTTAATGCCACAGCCTGCAGCAGATGGTGCTCCTTGGGCAGCAAGTATGAGGCAAGAAAAGCTAACACAGTGCATGATGCCGTATAGATCTTGCTTTTAGTGTCACAACATGAACCTTGAAGCTTTCAAAACTATAAGTCATAAGATATATCTTATTGGTATTTTTGCTAAAGATGCAATGTCTTTGGTATATGTGAGTGAAGTTAGATGAGAGCCTCTTATGCATTTATTTTATGATGACATCTGTGGTTTGTCATGATAATAAAACCAGTTAAAATTTTTCATGTGTTTCATTTTTCTTTTGAGGTTAGTTTTCTGAATGTGTGGTATCTTTTAAGAAGAAAATGACTTATTCTGGATAAAGCTGAAATGATGCGCAGTTTTTAGACCTTGTCTCAATAGCTAGGGTTAAAAAATGGACAATATTATATGACTGCTCTGCATTTACAGGTATTTCTCCACTTTCTGAAAGTTCACTTAGCTATTTTTGCTAACCAGAAGAAATCCAAGGAGGATTTTTGCCTTAAAAAAAAAAAAATTCCCATACTAATGGTCTTTCATAAAAGTCAAGTGGCATTTTTCGAACTCTGAGAAAATGGCGATATGCTTCACTTCATGCCATTTGGCTTACAAAAGGCTTCATAGGAATGCTCTACTTTCAGATAGTGAGAGAAACCTATGTATGCATCATAAACTTTTACTGGTTTATTCTGTGAGCACCTCTTTGCCCCCATACAACACAGAGGATGCTTTTCACTTCTGGGATTTTAGCCAGCCAAACTAAACTCACAGTTAGCCGACTCAGTATTTTAATTAGAAATGTCAGTTATTTAAAATAGTTATACTTATTTTTGGGTTCTATTTCTTACCTAGAATTAGGGGGTGAAGTATCAACAGTGTATGCATTATGAACCCTATGCTGCAAAGGAAAATAAATGTTTCCAAATTTATTTAAAAAAATTGTCCTAAAATTTAACCTCAAAGGATAGTATTCAATTCAGTGAACTAAATTAAGACCAGGACTTGTGATGGGGTTGTTTTTACATGAAATACTTCCATACTTTTGTCTGAGTTTGTGTCTTTTCCCCTCCTCTCCACAGGGTTTGTGCCTTACATTGTTACTCCTCGCCATTTTCAAGAAAGCATTGCCAGCTCTTCCGATCTCTATCACTTTTGGGCTGGTTTTCTACTTTGCCACAGATTATCTTGTACAGCCCTTTATGGACCAGTTAGCATTCCATCAATTTTATATTTAGCATATTTGCAATTAGAATCCCATGGATTTTTCTCCTTTGACTATAATAAAATCTGGGGAGGACAAAGATGATTTTCCTGTGTCCACATCTAACAAAGGCAAGATTCCCAGCTGGACTTTTTGCAGTTTCCTTCCAAGTCTTCCTGACCACCTGTACCATTGGGCGCTGGAAGGAGGTATCTACAGAAAATGGTTTGGACATACGTCATTGTGATGGACTGAGTCCCTCGGTGCAAAAACTACCAGATTTGAGGGACAAGGCTGAGGAGAAGGGACGGACCATGAGGTTGCTGTGCTCCCACCAGCAGTGTAACCCTTGGTCACAGGTGGATTTTACCAACACTGCAGACTCTCAGGACTACCATTACCAAGAAATTAAATGGCGTGGTTTAAACCAAACAGGACTCTTCATCTTAAACTACATGTTGAAGATCAACCTAATAAACTTGTCTTGAATTCTGAACCTTTTCCAGAGGTACTGTAAGGAGAGCGAGCACCAGCAGCAAGATGAAAAGGTTTTTGAAAAGGGGCTCCAACTTCCACTTTCAGACCTTTTTGCTGCAGACTTAACCATTTTTAGATAAGACATTTTTTTTTCCACCTTGAGTCAAGTCAGGTGTCTAGGTTGATTTTTTGAAAAGTCTCGTTTTCAAGCACTGAAACTCAGTACCATCAACGGTTGCCATTTCTTCCCACGGCCAGTCTGAACTGATTTGAGGTTGCTTTATCCTAAAAGTCTTAACCTCAGGTTCCAAATTCAGTAATTTCTGGAAAGAATGGAACTGTATCCAAATGGTTTCCTATTAGCCTTAGGTGCATTTTGGATTTTCCACCAAATTCTTTATTTTTAGACATACTTGTAGGTTCACGTGCCCCTGGATGCTTCCATTCTTCCCGTCTTTCCCTGACTCCCGCATAAGCATTCTCTTATACAGCAAATGAGACAGCTCTGTTGTGGTAACAGATGACCCAGTTACTCTAGGATTTTACTCTTTGTGTGGTGCAAAGAATGTGTTCTGAATCAGTGCTGTCAGCCTCGCTGTCATAATTTCTTCAATAGCAAATACAATGTGTGCCCTAAGACAGTGGAATTAAAGACGAGTAAAATGGCTGGTGAAGCACTTTCTGTCCTGGTTTTTCTTTTTTCTTTTTTCTTTTTTACTACAATCCATTGTCTCTGACTGTGGGTCGGAATTTGAATCAACAGCCAAAAGCTGGTAGTTTATAAAGTCCGCTGTGTCAATACAAAGTAAGAGTTTGGAGAAAGCTATGATTTTACTCGGTGAGCCGTGCGTGGGAGGACCTAGGGTCAGGAAGAGAACCAGCTGCCAAGAAGAGAAAGGGCCTCTAATAGCCAATGGGACAAAATGAGCTAACATTCCGTGGGCAGATGTTAAGGAGGAGAACCAAGTTATTCCTCAAGAACCTCACAGTGGGTGTTTTGTGCTTTCCCTTCTGCCTTACCTTTCATTTCAGTGTACCTTTGAACTGGGCTGTTGGGCTGAGACCCAGGGCAGCTCAGCTGGGGACATGAACAGAGCCATCAGCCTGTGGGCACATGACTCCTCTAAGCAAAGCTTTGCTGGGCACAACCCTTCTTCTACCACTGACCGCCCTTAGCCATGGTGATCAGACGGCAAGCATTTGTGAGAAACTTAGTCTCTCCTTCTGGCTGAACAGAAGGGCCAGCTTTTCTTCTTGTGCCTGCTTTCTCTCCAGCCTATCATGTGATCTGGTTTGCGGTTCTCCTTGGAGTTTAGAATATCTGTTTTCTGTCACAGAATATTATAAACTAACTTTAGCAGTAGTGTGCTGGTCATAACCGGAGTGTAAGTAAAAACTGGCTCACAGTAGGCGTTTGAGAACTGCAGGAAAAACAAAAAAACAAGTGCTCTGCACAGGAAGAGTGAGGCTTACTTAAAGTAGTAGGTTCGCTCATCTCTGTCTTTGTGTAGCCCCTTCTTTCCAAGATTCTCTTTTTCCTTAGATATGTAGCAATGTGGGTATTATCTTCTAGAAAGACACATGAATCAACCACTACAACAAAGCCACCCGAACATGTTTGCAACTTGAGGCAGGCCTGAGGGAGCCCTGATCTAGAGTAGTTTATTTGTGCAAAAGTCTCAGAAGTACCATATCTTTCATGAAAGGTTCATCCCAGAAGAAGGTATGTGGTGTGAGTGTGACCAAGACCATCCTTTGTATCACTGTCCTGTGTAGAAAGATGGCAATACAACTCACTTTCTACAAGACGGAACCACATCTCAGCATGGAGAGAACTCTTCTTTCCTGAAAACCCCAATTTCAGATGCAGAACTTTTTGCCTCGGAACTTTCTTCTTAGGGTCCATTCAGTTGTTTCTGAAATATCAAAATGCTAGTCTTCCACCATGAAAAATAGATTGTCACAGGGAACACAGTAGCAAGTCCGCTGCAGACGTGCCCTCACCCAGGGCAGGGGTGGCTGCAGGGCCACTGAAGAGGAGGCAGAAGAGTGGCCACTGATGTCTGGGCCTGACTGCCTCACAGAATACAGAGTGTTTAAATACGGAAGGTTGCTACAAACTAGCCTGTGGGCATACCGACCATATTTGGAAGATCTGTGGGCCTTTTTTTCAAAGAGGAAGAGCTTGCTTTTCCTGTTTTTAGATTCTCACTAGGTTAGCCTGTGGTCCAGGGATCACAGCTTTCACTGTAAATGATTAAATTTCTTGATGAGAACAAAGCTTTCTAAGCAACTTGGAAGAAAACCGTAAGTGAATGATTTATTGACTTCACTGCAGAAGCAACAGCTAGAGAGGTAGTTTTCTCACTTTTAAACTCCTGGATCCCCAGTTTTTAAAGTCCCTTGATTTCAAAAACTCTCCTTCCATAACCGATGTCTATGCAGTCAGTCTAGCGCTTGTCCTTTACTTGGCCTCAAAATTTATATAGTGGTCTTGGTCATAATTTGTAGAATGTGAGACAAAAGTTAAGCTCCCACGTAAGATCTTCCACGGTCAGCGTCTCAAGGAAGTCTCTGGTCCGGACCCGCAGGGCCTGGCCTTGCATATTCGCCCATTCACGATCTAGCCCAGAAACCACTATGAAGAGATTTATTCAGCGTCTTCCATGTTCCTGGCGTGGTGCTGGAGTCGGAAGGATGTGAAGATGAATAAGACATATCCTCAGAATGCAGCTATAGTTCCCTGTTTGCTGATAGATGCCATCTTTAACTTCTCTAAAATATCAGGTACTTGTCAGTAACCCCTTTTCATGGTTACCCTTTGATGTTATAAAGGTGACTTGATTCTCCCAGGAACTACTCCTTTCAGTAAAGTACTCCTTTTTCTCTACTTGCTTTTGGATGGTCTATAACAGTCTGATCTGCCGTTCTAGAACCTCACCTCTGGGGGAACCACAAAGGTGACTCAGGGCGGGGGTGGAAGGGACTTGAAAACTGGACATTTGGTCTTGCCCTGGGATGAAACAATATCATCATCATGAGTTTGAGCCCCGAAGTGATCCTTGTGATCTTCTTGCTTCTCTTTAAATCCCCCAAGCACAGGAGATTAAAAACAGCTCTTCACGGCCCTCGGTGAAGTTGCTGAGCAGGGTGTTCCTAACCAGGTTGTCGTCACGCTCACCTCCTGAATCATCCGGATGCCATCCTCTGAACAGTCCTCTCCTCTGATAGGAAAACCTCAGATGTGCGTATTAAAAACAAGCCAAGTGCTGAAATGAACCCTTTTCTCGGACTGTTTTCTGGGGCGTTGGTCAACTGCAACATTGAACTGAAGAAGCAGCGGGGTCCACCCTGGGCCCTGGAGCTGGTGTTGGCACTTCAGCCCGGGTGCGGAGGAGGAAAGATTTCCCAGGAAGCAATTTTCCTTTGTAAAAGGGCAGCTTCAAAATCAACTGTAGAGAGTAGCGAGTGCAGGATTGTTTACGGTGGGATCGGAGGTGCTGGCTGCAGGTTTCAGCGGGATCATTTACATGCTCGGCGTATGGCTTTTGCTTCTACAGACACTGCTTTGTACATGATTCAGACAGGCTGTGACTACATCTTTTTTAAATACCTTTTGAATTCTTGGTAAGATATAATTTTGATAGATGATTGCGGATTTTCCTGTACTTGTCAAATTAATAAAGACTGCATGAATCCAGCTGTGCTAATTTTCTTACATGAAAGTATTATAATGTATAACTTTGAGAACTGTTGTTCCTTTAGCAGGAAACAGTTAAACACAAATGCATTGTTTCTGTTACTCATAATGGGAGGGGTATGGATCAGAGCAAAACATGGATCATGTTTTGAAAGTCTCAAAACAACTATTCTTAACACTTCGTTTCTGAAAATTTTTTTTTCCTAAAAAACTCAGTTGATGTAAAAGCTGTCAAAAAAACTTATGGAACGTGTATGTTGTAGTACAATCCAGATATTTTATGTGCTAGAGGATTATCTTTTCAAAATTATGGGGGCAGCTGGCTGGCTCAGTTGGTAGAGCATGCGACTCTGGATCTCAGGGCTGTGAGTTCAAGCCCCATGTTGGGTGTGGAGCCTACTTAAAAAAAAAAGCAAAACCAAAAAAAATTATGTAGGTCACATCAATGGAAAAAAGCAACATTACTTTTACTGATAGTCCTGTCAGTTTCCTAAAACCCAGCAAAACCTTTTGTTTCTAAACAGTGAATAGCATATAAAATGTTGGGAATTACTGATCAGAAATAAGATGGTGAAAAAAAAAATAAGATGGTGGGCAGGTACCTAGGTGGCTCAGTCAGTTAAGCGTCTGCCTTTGGCTCAGGTCATGGTCTTAGGGTCTTGGGATCCAGCCCTGTGTTGGGCTCCCTGCTCAGTGTGGAGTCTGCTTCTCCCTCTCCCTCTGCATCTCCTCCCCCTGCTCGTGCTTTCTCTCTCTCAAATAAAAAAATAAAATCTTATTTTTTCTTATCCCTGCTGAGCAAGGAGCCTGATGCTGTACTTGATACCAGGACCCCAGGATCATGACCTGAGCTAAAGGCAGACACTTAACCAACTGAGCCACCCTGGCGCCCCAAATAAAATCTTAAAATAAGATAGTACAGGAAAACCAAAGTTGGCTATTGTCTTCAGAGAGAGCATATAAGAGATGGATACGTTCCTGGCTACATTGGCTAAGAGCATCAATCAGCAGGGAAGGTGTTCATTCCCTCCTTTGGGAATCACAGACATCATTTGCTTTTATGAATCTTGTAGGCCATGTCACTAGAGTCTGCCACAGAAATATGATTTGTTCTCACCAGCTGGGAGAGGTTTCTGATTTTTAGGGTCCTTAAAGAGAATGAAGAATGTCCTCAAGCAGGGTTGAGAAGCAAGAATAATGAGGTTGGATTTCCTAGCATCACTAGGTAAGTACCACAGTCTTCTGTAGCCCAGCCATTTTCTCTGGAGACTCTTCTGTGTGCTCTGTATGTGTGTGGTGGAGGGAGTCCTTGCCCACCAATGGCTTAGGATCTGGTTAAAAGTGAGATGACAGCATACATGCGTAACAAGCAAGTACAATGTTGACTCATTACATCATTTGAATGGGAGTGCAAAGCAACAGAGAGATCCACAAAAGACAGGGTTTAAGATCAGAATGTTTTCCAGAAACAAAGTTGGAACCAAGTTTGAAAAAAAGGGAAGATTCTGAATTGGCATGAAGATGGACATTCACCAAAAAAATCAGGAAGGAAGAAGTATGTGAGAGACACCCAAGGATAATTGGTTTTTGAATTAAAGTGATGATTTATCCAAAGGAAAACCCAATCAGCTAACTAAATATGTTTACATATTTACTGAGAATATACCTTCTTCATTAGATGACTTGTAGAAACCATGGAGAATGTAACCTGGCCTACCACAGGGGCCTTTCAGCATAGGGACCTCTTATCTTTTTTTTTTTTTTTTAAGATTTTATTTATTTACCTGACAGAAACACAATGAGAGAGGGAACACAATCAGGGGGAGTGGGAGAGGGAGAAGCAGGCTTCCCGCCAAGCAGGAGCCCGATGCGGGGCTCGATCCCAGGATCCCAGGATCATGACCCCAGCCCAAGGCAGACACTTAACGACTGAGCCACCCAGGCGCCCCGGGACCTCTTAATCTTGACCAAGATAGATGCTCTTACAGGAGCTGGTCCTTCTGTGCCTCATATGCCACACCCTCTAAAGGGGAGAAATGGAAGAGTCTCAAACCAAGTTTGTTGGAGTCTTAATTCCTTTTTTTTAAAAGATTTTATTTTTAAGTAATCTCTACACCCAACATGGGGTTCAAACTCACAACTCTGAGATCGAGAATCGCATGCTCCACCCACTGAGCCAGCCAGGCGCCCCAGTGGAGTCCTGATTCTTAGGACAAGGGGTGACATACTCTTGCTGCCACTGTTTGTCCTTCCCCCCCTAAAATTGTTTTAATTATGTAGTAACCCCAGGTCAATTCCTCATGGGAAAAAGGAATGGATTTTGTTACCCTCTACCCATAGCATATCTCGAGGTGGACTGCAGGTAAGATTCTGATTGTGATTAGCTTTCCTGGGGAGCAGACCTAGTCAAGTGCAGTAAACTCAGCAATATCAGGGCTCCTGGGTGGCTCAGTGGGTTGAGGGTCTGCCTTTGGCTCAGGTCATGATCCCAGAGTTCTGGGATCGAGCCCTGCATCAGGCTCCCTGCTTGGCAGGGAATTTGCTTCTCCTTCCCCCTCTCCCTCTGCCTGCTGCTATCCATGCTTGTGCTCTCTCTCTCTCTGTCAAATAAATAAAATCGTTAAAAAAAGAAAAAACTCAGTGATATGTACAAGGAAGATCTGAAAGAACAAACACTGGGAGTTAGATCACTATATTTACACTACGTTTAAATAGCTGGATTTAAGCGAGTTCTTAAAGGGCGGGCACATCCCCTCTGGATAGGGCTATCACAGGGATGGATACAGAGTAGTCTCTCAAATACTGAGAGAGACTGAGGAGAGATTTCAGGGACTTTATCCCGCATCTAGATGTTCGAAGATTTTTGTCCACCAAGTACTGTAACTCATCAGGCAGTAATTTTTCTCTTTATTAATCGGATTTACCTACCTATGCCATAAAATAGCATAAGGCTTGTTTAGTGAGGTGACTGGGTTTTACTTGCATGACGGGAGGGATGCGAATGTATGATTTCTTAAGATTTTCTCAAACGCTGAACACGACCTCTCTGCCATCCTTCTGCCGGGGTGGGTTTCCCACGCTTCCCCAGCCCCTTTCCCTCCCAGTTCAGGGGTCTTCTCTGGAATAACCCAGCCAGAAGGTCATCAGTTAAGAAACATCGTCAGGCTTGAGGGCCGTAAAGTGCCGGTGGAAGGGGAAGGGCTCTTCTATCCCAGCTGACCTCTGCCTTCACTCGGTCTCTCTCCTGGGGGCGCTCTCCCGGGCCGGGCTGGGAGGGGAGGGCCAGACTTCGTATGTTCTTACTGTGGCTCCCCTGGCCATTCAGAAGGGAATCCCATGAGTGTTTGCTAAGGGAACCCCACAGTGCAGCCAGCCTGCCTCGGGGTGAATGTGCTATTGACGGCATAGCCCCTTTGACTCTGGTGATGTAGAATCGTCTAAGCTAGGGCGCCCCCTATGTGTCAGGCGGGCCCGTGGCAATGACCCCGGCGCAGCCCGTCCTGGGGAGACAAAGGGACCCGGGTTTTCACCCCTGCCCCTGTCCGCAGGTAACGGGTCATCTGAGGGACTCCTTGCAGCCGGCAAGGACCAGATTTTCCCCTTTCCCTCTAGATAACTTGGTGAGGTAAGTCACAGACTTGTTACAAGTGATTATGCAACTTTGGTCGTTAAAGATGTGTGACTCACCAAGGCCCTCCAAGCCTATAATTGTGGCATGAATTGATTTTCGTTTTTAAGTCAAATGCACTGGTCAACATTTTTGTGAGGGTTGGCAGGTGAGCTAACCCCGAGAGGCCCGTCCCAGCTGGAGTTCCCGGGTGAGCAGGCGGGGGCTGCCGGGGCATCCGGCCTCCCTGGCCCCCGGGAAGGCCCTCCATCTCGTCTCCCCTGGCAGCGCTCCAGCCTCCCGGCGGGCGAGGACGAGGAGGAGGAGGGCGAGGCCTGGCCCCCCCGCACAGGGCCCCGCCCCGGCCCCGGCCCCGCCCCCGCACAGGGCCCCTGCCTCTGACCCGCCGGAGACAAGTCCGGCCCCTTTCCCCATCCCCCAACCCCCCCACCCCCGCACGGGGGCCCAGCCAGCCCAGCTGTTTCCGCAGCCGCGCCCCGACTCGCCCCCGCCCCTGCCGCCCGGGGCTTCCTTCCACGCCCCTGGGGTCGGACGCTCCTGCGGCTCCCGCAGCCGCCCCGGTCCGGAAGAGGTCTTGTTCACCCCGACGCCTCTGAGCAGGGTGAGGGGGGCCAGTGCGGGCAAGTGCCCGTAGACCGTGGGGGTGTGCCTCCCAGCTGGCTCCCAGGCCCCTCACACCCTCTAGTGGTGTGGGGACCCGCTGGCTGAGCGGTGGGGGAGCTGGGTGCGTGTGATCGCTGCCCCGTCCTAGGCCTCCTGGGAGTGAGTTGCTCAACAAGTGTTTGGTGAATAAATGATGGAATGGGTGGATTATGGGTCCACAGGAGGGATTTCCACGCAGGATGACACAACTAGGCCGTGTGGGGGGAACATGTTTTAAGTAAGAGCAAACATTTACCAATTTTGCCTTTGTTTACAAGGCTGTGCTGGGGATGACCTCTTGGCTTTATCTGCTTAAGAGACCCCTATTTATAAATAGCTGGTCAGATTGAATCCAAACAGGATTCCTCCCCCAAGGGCACGCTTGTGACATTGAGAAATATATGGGTTTGTCCAGAGTCAGTGTCACCACGTTGAATTTGGAAGGAATAAAGGATAGCAGTGTTCTTTTTTTTTCTTTTTTAAAGATTTTATTCATTTATTTGAGAGAGAGAGAGCTTGAGAGGGGGGAGGGTCAGAGGGAGAAGCAGACTCCTCGCTGAGCAGGGAGCCTGATGCGGGACTCGATCCCGGGACTCCAGGATCATGACCTGAGCCGAAGGCAGTCGTTTAACCAACTGAGCCACCCAGGCGCCCCAAGGATAGCTCGGTTCTTAATACTTGTACTTAACCCTCATTTTTTAAATTTAAGTTCAATTGGCCAATGTATAGT